AGATCCCTCAGAAGTCAGAGCTGATACTGTGTGACCCAAAGTTCCCGTCATAAACTGCATTGTTAGACTGTCTGGTGACCAAAGCCCTAGGCAAACAAAGACACTTCTCTGAGGCAGGAAATTCCAGGGCCCTAAAGATTATCTCCCAGTGGCTAAGGCAAAGGCCAGGCCTCTCTTCAGGTGAGGCTAATTCTTCACTACACAAGTATAGTCTTTGCCTCTGAGTGCCATACTTACGCTCAAATTCAAACTTACGATACCAATAATGACCAAACTTATTTCATCTGATAGTGTGCCAGAGTCAACTCATACTAACTGACAAAAATGGATTATTAAGTATTTAGGAGTTTTGTAAGCTGGTTGTTAAATACAGGTGTTATAAAACACTTAGTTATATAAACATATGGATTAGATTAAAAACAAAGATAATAAATGTTTAAAACTCATCATGTTGTAATTATTTTACTATTAATATGCTCTTGATCTTATCTAGGTCTACTGTATCTGGTGAGAGTTATGTAGAATGTTATGCTACTAGGCCTTTCTTCCTATCTCTGTGTTCAGTGACATCATGTTGGTAGCATGAAATTGACCATGGTAAGAATATTTACACCATGAAATTCAGCAAATGCTATGAATCGGGACTTTTTGGATGCATTTTAATTTTGAGAAGCATCTTTTTGTTGATCCAATTGTTACTAGAACTGTTCAGAGTATTTTATAGGTTATGACAACATTAAGATAAATTTCTGAGAAGTTATTTCAAAATATAAATTGTAGTACTTCTAGAGCTAATGATTCTGATGGGGTAATTTTTCTAAAAATTTTAACTCTTCATACAAGTCAGTTGTAAGCCTGAATTTAATGTTAAATGCAAAGTGATACATAGCATTTGAGTGTTTTTTCCTTTCTTTCTTTCTTTTTTTTTTTTTTTTTTAAGATTTTATTTATTTACTTGACACGGAGAGAGAGAGACAGTAAAAGAGGGAACACAAGCAGAGGGGAATGGGAGAGGGTGAAGCAGGTTTCCTGCAGAGCAGAGAGCCGGATATGGGCCTGGATCCCAGGACTCTGGGATCATGATCTGAGGTGAAGGCAGATGCTTAAAAACAGAGCCACCCAGGCACCATTTGAGTGTTTTTTTCTGACATTTCCTATAAGTTCTGTAGGTTGTACAAGAAAGGTGTATGATTAAAGCCTAAAAATAAAAATATATGTAATTAAAATTTCATTCGTATGAAAATATTTTTTTCTCTTGTATACAGTAATCTTAAAAGGAAATGTCTGTTTCCAAGACTGTGGATATTTGCTTTGCAGTGTTGCAGAAGCTTTCAAAACTAGAGATTCTGAACTCTAGTAAGTACTTGCTATGCTTTATTTTAATGTACATGTGTATGCTTTTATCTTGTAGTGATTTGCTGACAAAGTTTATTGCTTGAAGACAGCAAGTACAAGATCACAGATATTGTTTAATTTTTAATTCTGGGCAGAATTCACAGAGATACATCCCGGGGATGGGCGTGGAAGCCAGTTTATGTCCATGAGGAGCCCCTCCTCTCTCTGGGGGCAGCTGCTGCCATGGCTGCCACCAGCCTGGGCCAAGCCTGGATGCAGCCAATTCTCACACCACACCTCAGTCTGTCCCATGATTGCCCTGCCTAGGGCTGACCAGCTTCTTCAAGTGCATATTGCCTGTCCTATCACTGGCGCAGGGGGTGATGGGGTGAGAATGTTTTAATTTTCTTGTTTTGTTTTGTTTTGTTTTTTCTATTTTTCTGTATTCTCAAGAATGGGTAATAGATAAATAACTAGCTCACAAACATTTATTTTTAACACCAATTATATTATCAGCTCTTTTTCTGAATTTATGACTTTATAACATTGCATTTGTCCCTTTATATAGGGTGTATCTGAACGGGGTGTTTATTAGGCTGAAAAAGCAGAGTGGGCAGTAATTTGAAATTTGTTTTAGTAAAATACCTACTTATCCTTGATTTATTTTTAGTTGTGTCCTAATTCCTTTAAGGACCATGGTACATATTAATTTACATGAGCAACTTAATCTGTATGACTGTCAGGCACTTCTGTAATAATTTATGTTTTAAATTGCTCTGAGTGGACAAAAGATGTCTTAGAAGGTAGTATTGCTCTAATTTTAAATCCTTTAAAAATAATCAGAGACTAAGTAACAAGAATGAAATCTCATTTCCTTTTGGACCCCTTTATTAGCCAAGATGAAGATGAGTGCTTTACACCTTAAGAGAGAAGCAGAGGGGATGATGCACTGGCGTATCAATGTAAACCCACCTCTGACGTCACTGCTTGTACACTGTTTTCCTGGAACACAGAACAAGACTGAGATTAGGAGGGGACTGGGCTGCAAAGAACTGCTCAATTTCTAAAAAGCATTTACTTACTGCTTCGTGCTTGAGAGGATTTTAGAGGAATCTCAAACTCATCACCCAAACCAAACAGAAGAGAGATGCCACTGACCGTAGAGGAAAACTTAATGAAACTGAGCTCAGAAACCTGGAGTCCCACTTAGAGGTTTCCTTTATCTTTTCCCTTTTATCTCCTCCATTATCTTTTTTGGTGTTTGGAGTCATTTCTCCTCCTTCTACCCTTCTCTCCATTGTCATGGAGAACTCTGATAACTCACTGCATCTAAAAAGGAAAACAACTCAGGTAAGAAGGGGGTGGGCTGGGCTGTTTAAGGATAATTGGAGGGAGAAAAGGTCTCCGTAAAAATCCATTATTAGTCACTTTTTGGAATTAAGACCTTGTCTCAAGGTAAGGATTTTAGGTAAGCAATTGATATATTGGCTTATTAAACCTACAATCATTTCAGAAAAGATAATTTCATTATCCTAGCCAGCCGTTAACTTAGAAAGTTAGACTTTTAGGGATGCCTGGGTGGCTCAGTCGGTTAAGCCTCTGCCTTCCGCTCAGGTCATGATCTCAGGGCCCTGGGATTGAGCCCCAGCCCCACACTGGGCTCTCTGCTCAGCAGGGAGCCTGCCTACTTGTAATCTCTCTGTCAAATAAATAAATAAAAATCTTAAAAAAATAGAACGACTTTTATAGTGTTAACCTTATATATACAACCACACAGGCACACAATTTAGCACATTGTGGCATAGGGTGTTCTCTTAATATATTTCTTTTAAATTGAAATATATTTTTGGGCAGGCAAAGAAGAAAGGCTGTACTGTGTTCTTGGGAAAGAGGGTAGATTCAGGTGTCTGTAGGGTCTGGGTATTAAACCTATCAAGGGTCAACAAGTTTTAACCTAAGGATAAAGACATCCATGCTTGGGTTTCTCAATTTCATTTTACATTCACTAAGTTTCAAGTCACCAAAGTAAAATGGATGAAATGCATCTTGACTTTGGAATATTTGCCTTCATTCACTGCGTTTTCAACTGCTCGGATACATCCTTAAAAAAAAAAAAAAACAACGAACCAAAAAACTGGTGTGGTAGAGAGTCAAGCAAATGCTCAGTTATTATAAGAACAATTTCTGCCTTTTATTTTACCTTTTTTTTTTTTTAAGATCAATGAACCTTTGAAGAATTTTTGACGGTTGGGAATAAATACATTTTGTATTTTAAGTCTTTCTGTTTGGATATATCAAATTCCGGGTAACTTAAGTAACATAGCAATGGATATTTGCGATGGGACTCAAAGAGTAAACAGACTTGAAATCTGGAGAAATTCTAGCAATCGTTATTCTGGGATACCTACTTTATTTACATACATAACTAGTATTTTTAGAAAAAGAAAATAACTTTTCAGAAGTATGGGGAGATTGGGAGTCAAAGCCGGAGGCCTTAACGTTTTAACTTTTTTCCTTCTTCTTCCTCTTCTTCTTCTTCTTTTTTTTTTTTTTCCCCTCAAGTGGTATTGACTTAGCAGGAACAGTTCAAACAAGCCTGCAGTCCAGGAAATGATCATCAGACCAAGTGATCCACTTAGATGGGAAGAAAAAGTAATTTGCTCAGCATCTTCAGGATCGTCTTAAAAAAGAGTTTCAGTAAGAAATAAATTGAGAAGGAATGTTTCAGAAAACAATTCCATGCCCAGACCCAAACCCCAAATCGAAGCTGGGACTTTTCCCAAGTGCGAGCAGAGCGACAGGCCCTGAAACAAACCGCGCAGGGCGGGCGGGAAGCCCTCGGCCCGCAGACCCTTTCTCTTGGTTTCGGGAAGGTGCTTCGGGCAGCTCCGTTTCCCCCACGGCCTCCCCCACGCGAAGGCTGCGAGCGCGGGGAGGGGACGCGGACAGGGCGACCGGACGCGAGCGCGGGCGCGCGGGCGGGAGAGCCTGTGGCCGGGCGCCGCCGCCGCTGTTGTCCGGGGTGCTGAAAGCCGGGAACTTCCCGGGAAGCCGCGGCCACTTTTCTCTGGGTCGGAGCGGCGGGTGTGGGGTTTCAGGGTGCGCACCTGCTAAGCCCGCCCTGGTCCTGGGCCGGGAGGTGCCGGCAGAGGAGACCCTCCTAGCCCCGTGGGTGGGGGTGGGGGGTGCGTAACTCGGGGGCGGCGGTGAGTACGGGCGGGAGCGCCAGGCGGGACCCCGGGGCCCCTTCTCCGCCTCTCGGGCAGCCCCGCGCCGCGACCCCGCTCCACCTGCGCGCGAACTCCGGCGGGGGGACGCGGGCGCCTGGGGCCCAGTGCGGCTGGGAGCGGGGCGGGGGAGGAGGGAGCTGGTGGGGGTGGGGGCGGCCCTAGTCCGGGGATGGAGGTGGGGGGCGGGTGGAGGCGAGAGCGAGCGGGGCATGCGCAGTGGGGCGGAGGAGGTGGCGATGGCCGGGGGAGGCGGGGGGACTGCTGTTTATTTGCAGCTGGGCCAACTCGGCGGCGCAGGCGGCGGCGGAGCGCGGGGCGCCAGCGCGGGTCCGGCTGCCGCCGCATCATGCCCGAGCCCACCTCCCGGCAGCCGCGGCGCGCCGCCGGGGCCCCGGCCGGGGAGAATGCCGGACGCCCGGGAGCGGCTAGGGCAGCGGCGGTACGATGGTGGTGACAGGCTCTGCCCGAGGCGGCGGCGGCAGCGGGGACCGCGCGCCTTCCCGGCGGCGGGGCTGCGGACTCGCGCCGGCCGGCGCCGCGGCGCTGCTGGCCGGGGCGAGCTGCCTATGCTACGGCCGCTCCCTGCAGGGCGAGTTCGTGCACGACGACGTGTGGGCGATCGTGAACAACCCCGACGTACGGCCGGGCGCCCCGCTTCGCTGGGGCATTTTCACCAATGACTTCTGGGGCAAGGGCATGGCCGAGAACACCAGCCACAAGTCCTACCGGCCGCTCTGCGTCCTCACCTTCAAGTGAGTTCCTTAGCTCGCGCTCGCAGCCGCAGCCGTTTCTCTTCGCCTCTCGTCCGAGCTGGGAGAAGTTGTGGGACCAGCTCGGTGGGGGGGTTCGTTTCTTTTCTTGGGGCCCCTTCCTCTCCACGCCTCCCTCCTCTGCTGCTGTCCACGCCACTCCGCGCCGCTGTCCCCGGCCCCGCTTCTCTGGGCTCCCGGGGCGGTTCGGGAGGCGCGGGCTGGGAGTTGGGATCGAGTTTCTCTGGAGTCTGCGCTCTCGGCGGGCTGGTCTCTCGGGCTAGGGCTGGGAGCGGGGCTGCTAGAGCTCCTCCCGCACTTGGTCAAGTGCGACCGGGCGAGCCCGGCGAATTCCGGACTGGAGGCTGTGGTCGGGATGCTTCCAAGTTGGGAATTTCTCGGACGTTGTTGGGCAGCCTTGCTGATGGCGAGAGAATCAGTCCCTTTGGGGTTGCGTTCGGAGGAGAGGCGAGAGCCGTGCCAGGGCTGCACGGCTTTTGGGGAGGCGCAGCAGAGGGAGCGGAGGCTCTCCCCCGACCTGCAGTCTTTGGCTGCTCCCGGAGCCTTTCCAGTCCGCAGGTTTGCGGAAGGGCTCGGGATTTAGATAAGATGCAAAGCAAAGGAAGGCAGAGCGTGGGATCCTCTGGAGATCCTGGTGTCCCAGTCGAAATAGTTTTTGTTTTACAGCCTCAGAGTCATGATTCAGCATTTCTGGTGTGAATAAAGTGTAAAGGAACCGAGAGAACGCCAGGGTTTTGTAGGGTGGAGTATTTTCTTGAATTTAAAAGAGGGGTTGCTTCAGAAGGAAGAGGAGGAGGGCTTTGTATGAGTGTTACCTGGTACACTGTGAGCTTGACTCAACCCTTTTTAATTTGGCTCAGCCTTTAAGCTTATAATGTGCCGGACAAAAACTTGAAATATTGGTTCAGTATCATCAGTGTTTTAAGCCTTTTCCAGTGGGTGTAGTATGAACCCGTCTTTGTGGTAGTAGTTATTCGAGACGGGATACGCACCTTGAAAACCTTACCTGGGGCCACGAGGCCAAGGTTTCTTGACAGGTGGTTGTGATGACTTAGAAAAGGAAATCATAGCAGTTGTCAGTAATTCATGGGCTTTTGACTTAATTCTTGCATTGAAAATTCAGTGTTTTAAAAGAGAGTGAGGAAATTGCACATTTGACTCTGAAGAGAGTATTTTGTAAACATTAGTCCTCTTGGAAAGTGGTTTTGCTTTTTGGCTGAAAGATAACCACAGCTACTGAGTTGCTCAGTACTCTCAGTTTTCCAAATGTTTCTTAAAATCTTATATGACACAAATATATATGTTTATCTTCTAGATTGGCCTGCCTTTTCATTTATTACAGAGAGGACTGATGGTTCATTTAAGGTGTGGAAGCTCACAGCATGAGATGTGCTGGGATTGTAACAGCTATGGAGACTGTCTTGATCTGAACATTTTACATTTTAAAAGGTTAGGGCCAAATGCCAGTGCCCACTTGGTGGAGGATGGGAAGGATGTTTTCACTTCTTGACTTTCTAAAGTGTTTTTCCATGCATGCAGGAGATGGCAGGGACAGAAAAGAGGAGTGGGGAGGGAAGTAGACAATGAGGAAAGGCCAGTGATGGAGAATGTTAGCAAGGGTTTTGGGGAAACGGGTAAGGAAGGAGAGTTGCAGGGCTGGGCCAACTCCTCACTGTGTTCTCATTGGTTACAAAATGCAGATTTGCGTCTAAGACCATTGCTCTTTGTATAATCTCATTTTACTGGCTGTGTAAGATATACTTTTTTTTTTTTTTTTTTGGAGAAGATTGAGTTGCAGATCTAGAGAGCAGCACAGCACTAATCAGAAAGGGGTAGATGTTTCTTTAGAAAGAGAAAGCTCATCTTTCCATGTTCACAGGTGTGAATTAAAATAAGACCTGGGGGCGCCTGGGTGGCTCAGTGGGTTAAACCGCTGCCTTCGGCTCAGGTCGTGATCTCAGGGTCCTGGGATCGAGTCCTGCATGGGGCTCCCTGCTCAGCATAAGGAGAAGCCTGGAGGGTGGGGGGTACTGTTGATGGTGCTAGACTCATACAACTCTAAAGGTTGTTGCAAGGAAGGACAGAAAATCAAATTTATTAACTACTCAGTGTGAAACAAGCATTGGCCTGAAACTCTTTACATAGATTAAGTCTTTATGATTTTTGTTTTAGATAGTTGGTAAAAATAAAGTGGCCCTTTAAATATATATACACACTATTTTTATTATATCTTAAACTAGGTTTTCTTTTTTTAATAAAAATCTTTGAGAATTTGAGATCATTTTTATTTATTTTTTTTCTGGTAAGAACACTTAACATGAAATTGCCATTTAGAATTCTTAGGAGCACAATAAAATATCATTAACTGTAGACACAGTGTGATAGAGCAGATCTCTGGTGCTTACTCCTTTTCCATAACTGGAACTGTATACCTGCTGAACCGCAGCTCTCTCCGGGCTCCACCCCCCCCGCCCGCCCCCCGCCCCCCCTTAGCGGCTATCATTCTACTCTCCATATGAATTTGACTATTTTAAATATGTTATGTAAGTACAGTCATGCAGTATTTGCCCTGTTATTGGCTTATTTCACTTAATATAATGTCCTCCCCGGCCAGCCATGTTGTTGTATATGACAGGATTTCTTTTGTTAAGGCTGAATAGTATTTCATTGTATGTATAGACCAGTTATTTTAAATTTTTTTAAAAGATCTTATTTATTAGAGAGAGAGTGTGAGAGCGAGCACACAAGCAGGAGAAGGGGCAAAGGGAGAAGTGGGCTTCCTCCTGAGCAAGGAGCCTGACACGGGGCTCTAACTCGGGACCCTGGGATCATGACCCTGAGCAGACACTTAACTGACTGAGCCACTTAACTGACTTAACTGACACTTAACAGACACTTAACTGACTGAGCCACCCAGGCACCCCCCCCACACTTTTTTTTTTTTTTTTTAATCTATTTCTCTGATCACGGACAGTTAGGTTGTGTCCATGTCTTAGTTATTGTGAGTATTGCTGCAGTGAACTTGGCAGTGCATATATCTCTTCAAGATCCTGATTTCAATTCTTTTGGATTTTTAACCAGAAATAGAATTGCTGGATTATTAGCTGATTGTATTTTTAACTTTTTGAGAAATCTCTATACTGTTCTCCATAGGAGCGGCACCTTTTAAGTTCCCACCAGTAGTGTATAGTGGTTCTAGTTTTCTACATCCTTGCCAACACTTATCTTTTTTTTAATAAAAGCCAACCTAATGGGTGTGACAGAGGTGATAACTCATTATGATTTTGATTTTGATTTGCATTTTCCTGAGGATTAGTGATGTTAAGTATCTCTTCATGTACGTACTGTTGGCCATTTGTTTGTCTTTTTTTTTTTTTAAACTATAATTGACATATGATACCCTATTAGTTTCAGATGTATACCATAGTGACTTGATGTCTTTATATATTATAAAATGGTCCCCACTATAGGTCTGGTTACCATCTGTCACTATACAAATTTATTACAATGTGATTGACTGTGTTCCCTAGGCTGTACATTACATCTCCATGACTTATTTATTTTATAACTGGAAGTTTGTATTTCTTAATTCCCTTCACCTATTTTGCCCCCACCCCCACCCCGTCCCCTCTGGTAACCAGTTATTTGTTTCCTGTATCTGAGTCTGTTTCTGTTTTGTTCTGTTTGGTTGTTTTGTTTTCTAATTCCACATATAAATGAAGTTATGTGGTATTCGTCATTCTCTGACTTATTTCACTTAGCATAATACCCTCCATGTTGTCACACATGGCAAGCTCTCATTCTTTTTTTATGGCTGAGTCTTTATTGGAGAAATATCTGTTCAGGCCCTTTGCCCATTTTTTCATCCTTTTTTTTTTTTTTTTTTACCTTGAGTTGGAGTTTCTTACGTATTTAACATATCAGACACATGCCTTGGCTATTCCATTGGTTGCCTTTTAACCCTGTTGGTTACTTCCTTTGCCGTACAGTGGTTTTTTAGTTTGATGTAGTCCCAGTTACCTAATTTTTTTTAATTGTTTGTACTTTTGGTGTCATATTTTAAAAAATCATTGCTAATTCTAACATCATGAAGTTTTCCCCATTTTTTTTTTAAGATTTTATTTATTTGACAGGGGGAGAGCGAGAATGAGAGAGAGAGAGAGAGAGAGTGAGGAGAGCGAGAGAGCACACAAGCTGTGGGGGGGTGCAGCAGGCAGAGGGAGAGGGAGAAGCAGGCTCTGCACTGAGCAAGGAGCCTGATGTGGGGCTCTATCCTGGGACCCTGGGATCATGACCCCTGTTTTTCTTCTGGAAGTTTTACAGTTTCAGGTCTATTTAGGTTGTCAGTACATTTTAAGTTGATTTTTGTGTACAGTGTAAGATAAGTGTCTAGGCTTATTCTTTTGCATGTGGATACCATTTTTCCCAACACTGTTGAAGAAACTATCTTTTCCCTGCTGTGTATACTCGGCCTTTATGTTGAAGATCATTTGACCATATATGTGTAGGTTACTTTCTGGCCTCTTTATTCTTTTCCATTGGTAAGTGTGTTTGTTTTTATTCCACTACCATACTGTTTTAATTATTGTAGCTTTGTAATATGGTTTGAAATCAGGAAGTGTGATACTTCCAGCTTTGTTCTTTCTCAAAATTGCTTTGTATATTCAGGATTTTTTGTAGTTCCAAATGAATTTTATGATTTTTTTTTTATTTCAGTTAAAAAAAAATCTATTGGTATATTAATATAGAATACATTGACTATAATTGGCTTTGAGTATTATGGACATTTTAACAATAGTAAGTCTTCTACCTATGAATTTGGGATGTCTATTTATTTGTGTTTTCTTTAGTTTCTTTCGTCAGTGATTTATAGTTTTAATTATACATGATTTTTACCTCTGGTTAACTCCTCTGTATTTTATTCTTTTTAATGCTGTTGCAGATGGGATTGTTTTTCTTAATCTTGGATCATTCATTATTGG